AATTGCAGTTCTGGTGGATGGGGCAGAAAACTAAAAGAGTAACGATCACAAATAACCATATAATCACAACTATGATAAGTATCATGGAGGAAAATTTGGTGGACAGTATATCAATATTATTTACAGCTTGGAAGCCACGCATTTTACATATGATAATTCGTATGATAAGCCTGAATTTTGTGTGTGTGTTATATATACGTATTTATGATCTGTATATATGATCTGTATTTCCAGATGAAGAAATAGAGGCTCAAGGAAGTGAACAAATTGCCCAAGGCCCAAAAGTCAGCTGAAGGCAGAGCCAGGATTTGAACCCTGGCCCTAAACTTCAGCCCCAAGGCAAAGGAAATTTGAGCCTTTGTTTGGATGTCTTCTGTAACAGGGTGATGCTCTGACCAGCCAGCCACAAAGACGCATTCCTTCAGGAGGCCACCACCTGCTACATCAATCCAGCTGCAAACTGCCTGCACCAAGGCACGTTTGTGAGATGCTCGCGGGCTAAGGAATGGATTCTGAGACATCCAAGAACACCTCCCCCCACCCCAAAGTTCCTGCACAGAAATTTCCCCAAAATCAGGGCAGGTACCCAGAGCACACCCCACTGTGACCCACCTCCAAGGCGCCCACTGCCCAGCACCGCAGGGTACCCAGAGTGAAAGAAGCCAGACTCGCTGCAGTCAGCTCTAGATTACAAGGTGTGTGGGAGAGGTGGTGCAGGGCTGCACGTGGCGACTTTGGAGACCCCCTCGGATGTGAGTTCCTGCCACTTATAAGCTGCATGCCCTTTAGCAAATTGCCTCATCCTCTGTGCCTCAGTTTCCCCCTCTGTGCAATGGGAGATAAGTGCATCCACTTCAATGGATTGGTATGAGAATTCAATGGCAGTGCAAGTAAAGACCTTGGACAGTGACCGGCATTCTGGAATGCACTTGGTACTATATTATGATCAACACGCAGGTCAAGTCAGGACACTTCCTCCACCCCACCCCTCTTCTTCAAATGTGAAACTGAGTCCCAAGAAGAAAGAAACAGATGCAGAGGTGGGGGGAAACATCTCAGGAAGAGACAGGGCCCTCTGTGCTTCCTGAGTGGAGCGAAGAGGGAGGGGCCATGAATGTGCGAGCCCAGGCCAGCCCTTCCTCCCATACAAAAGTTAATCCTGAACTTTCCTCTGGCGCTACAATCAGACATCCCTCGTCAGAGAGACACCAACTGACGAGGCTGCAGTGTGCCTGCTTCGGGTCAGCGAGTGACCTTGGGCCCCTGGCGAGATGGCCTTGCTCCTGCCCCTGCTCCTGCCTCCGTCACACTCTGCGCAGTGACTGTGCTAGCTGCAACTCGTGCCACTGCTCTCCAAAGACACCAAGCACCTGTGAGCCTTTGTGCTTTGCACACGCTGCTCTCTCTACTACGGCTGCCCCCCCTCTATAAACCACCACCTGGAAAATCGTCACTGGAGGGCTTCATGTGCTCCAAAGCAACTTCTGCCCACCTGTTACTGGTAATAATAGACTAATAATAATAATAGCAACTAACATCTGCGAGCACTTATTCATATCTACAAGGCCCCGAGCTAACATTTTGTACCCAAATTGTCTTATTTTTCTCCTCACATCACCACCTTAGGGAGGCAGCTTACCTGCTCGAGAGGTAAGGCATCTGTCCCTCCTCACCCAGCTCGCAGGTGGCAGCTGCGGGCTCCACACCTGGGCTGGCCTGAACCACCTGCATCTGCTACTCTGTCTTCTTGCTGTTGAAGCCTGTATCCCACAGTGTCCTCATTAGCTGTCCCCAGGCCTTCCTCTCCCCACAGAGTGAGAATCCCAAGCACTGCCTTATTCATCTTGAAATCCCTTGCTAAGTACAAGGTCTGGACCAGAGTAAACGTCTGTTGAAGGAATCGATGAACCCTGGAAAATGCAGCCAGCTGAGAAAGGCTAAGTGGCTGCTCACAGACTCCCTGGGGACAGGCCCCTGCTGGACTTAAATTCCCAGGAGTCAGCCCCAGCCCCACTGCAGGAGACAGGCCAACTTTCCCTGTCCTGACAGCGAGAGGCAGAACAGACGCGGTCTAACTCTCCCTGCTCCATGGAAGGAGGTGGAACCTCTGAGAGCCCACTGCAAAGGAGGAAATGGTGGTGATGGTGACAACAATCACTTCCTGCATTCCTGCCCACATCAGGTGCTGCACTAAGCACTTTCGATGCGTTATGGTCTCACAGAAGCCTCTCAACCCCGTGAAGCAGGCATATACTATGATTCACATTTTATAGGTGAGAAAACCAGGGCTCAGAGAGTATAAGTAACTTACACGGGGCCACAGAGCTTTCAGGTATAGAATTTAATGAGACCTTGCTGGCTGCCCTGCACTTCATATTTGTAGCTTTCTATAGAAGGCAGGCTTGCCCAAGCCCTCCTTGAAGCCCAGTTGCTAAGGTGTGCTCAGGAAAAAGGTTTTCCTGGTCTCTACTGGAAGAATGCCACTGTCCAACACCTAGGTGTCGTAGGTGCATGGGTGGCTAGGTTGGGAGAGGGGGACGAGTTGAGTGGGGGTTCCTGAGAGTGCAAGCATGTGGAATCCAGGCCATGTGCCTTCTGCAATCTGCTAAACCAAACTGGCTGCAGCCTTTGCCGGTCAGAGGAAGTTCACTCCAGGCATGGAGCTGACTTTGAGAAGGCCTGCGGCCTAGCTTCCAAAGGGGCCAACAGGGCTCTGCAGAGAGGTTCTGGCCTTTGGGAAAAACCACCTCCCTGCGTCAGCATCCTCTTAGCCCTGTGCCTCGGGCTTCAGAAACGATTTACCAGCTAGATTAGAATTTAACCTCCATGCCAGCGTCATTTACCAGAGAGAACAAAGTCTGAGCGGGCATCGGGCCTCACCTACCACATCCTTCCAGCCAGGGAAGACCCAGAGAGCAGCAGAATGCGTGGGGCCCTGACACGGGGAACCGCAGAGCCACAAATGAGTGTGGCAGCGGGAGGGCATCACAAGAGGGGAAGGAAGGATCCATGGCCTTCCTGAAGGAAGTCATTCCAGAGGCTGGGAAGAGCTGGGGCCAGGAAGGTTCCAGTGCCTGGGGGGACACTGTTGGGTAGTCCCCAGTTGCCAGGTAGGTACAGAGTTGAAGGTCCAGAGTAGCCCAGTTGACACCTTGCCCCCAGCATCCTGGGCACTCCGCCTAGAAGAAGGGATTTGAGTGACAAGTGGGAGAAAGGGGGGTGGGGGGTTGCGTGAGCCGGCAGGTGCTGGGAAGAGGCACCGGCCCCCAGCGCCCCCTGCAAGCTGGCTCCGTATGACAGAGCCCCGAGGGAGGAAGATGTGGAAACACCCCCAGCCCCTGCAGAGCCACCCACCAGGGCTCCTCTCCTGCACCTGTCTAAAAGGGACACGCCCCACTCAAAAGCAATACTGAAGGCGGCCAACATTTACCTAGGAGAGTTCGCCCTCCCGAGCTCGGCTGCGCCCAGCTCCTGACATGAGGCCACTCACTCAGCCCCACAGCCTAATAAAGGACTATTAGCCCCATCTCTCAGAGGCGCCTGAGGCCCAGGGCCAGACAGCTAGTCGCTGGCCGAGCTAAGAAGCTGTAATACCAGCCTAGGAGGAGGCCTCCCCGACCGAGGGTTTTTCTCGCGTGCTTCACCAGCCGCCGGAAATGGCAGGGCACTCGGAGAAGTACCCCGCGGGTCGAGGCGGCCAAGGGCAGGCCCCTTCCAGGAAAAGCCCTGAGGGAAGGGCGCCTGGTACCTCGGGGCCCCCGGGTCCTCCACAGAGGGTGATTCAGAGGCGGCACCTGGTGCCCAGGCCCGCGGGGAGCTGGTGAGCGCTTCTGACAGCGAGAACAGGGACCCATTATGTGGCATCCAATCACATGGGCGCGCAAGGAGCTCGGCTTTCGGTTCCGAGAAGCGCTCCTGCAGCCGCGTTTCTGTCCCCTGCTGCCGAGGTGTCCGGGGGCACCGGGTCCCAGGCCTGGCGCGCGACGGGAGGCAGGGCCAGATTCAAAGCTCGCCCAGGCTCAAGTTATCCGCTGAGGCTGGGAGCTGCATCATCAGCATCTCCGTGAAACCGGAGGCCGGGCTGGGGAGGGGAGCGGAGGAAGGGAGCCTGCAGCAGGGAAGGAGGCGGGCAGCGAGCGCCTCCCACTCCGGGCTCTCCACCGGGGCGGTCTGGGCAGCTCAGCCTGGACGCTCCGGGTGACCTTGGGGAGACCCCTCTGCGCGACCTCTCGGGGGCGGGCTGCAAGGTGTCTGCTCATCCTCGGCGCTCGGGGGCGCTCCTCCCGGCCGGAGTCGATGCGCGGGACTCGCACGCAGGGAGAGGCGCGCTCCTGGCGTGGGGGACCCAGCAGCCGGCGCACGGCGGCCCTTGGGAGAGGCCGGGCGCACCTCTCCGGGGAACCACCACGCACGAGGGCTCCTCGGGCTGTCAGGCACTGTCAGCCGGATCCAGCGGCGGGGCAGGTCTGCGTGCGGGGGCGCCTGCCCTGGGGACCTTTCCCGCCCGGGCAGGAGCGCTCCCTGCGGAAACCAAGCCCCGCCACGCGAGGGGGCGGCGCCCCCATGCCCGGCCCGGAGACTGGCCGCGGGAGGGTGTTTGTTGCAGGCTGTGGCTCCCGCTCCCCGGCATTGCAACCCCGGGCAGATCGCGGCCCACGAGTCCAGAAGCGGTCCGGGACCCCGCCTCCCCGCCCCAAGATCTGGCCACGACGGCCCCAGCCAACAATCTGCCAATGCGCCCCCTTCCCTCGGCCTCGTCTGGAGCGCGAGACCAAGGAGAACGCCTCGCCCCAGCCCGACTCCCAGACCCCGCGCTCTCGGAATCAGCCTTTCCAGCGTCCCCCAACCCCAATTATCTTAAGCCACCGGCCCTTAGCCAAAGCGTCCCCGCCCCCAGCCAGGCTATCAGAGGCTGGGACTGCCTCCCCGCCCCATCCTAGTCCCCCGCGCTGTCAAGCCGCAGAGCGCAGCGAGGGAGGCGGCGCCGCCGGGGAACTCACCCTCTCTCCGGAGCCCTGCCCCGGGCAGCTCCCGACCCTGGCTCGGTCTGTGGGTCCCCGAGCCGCAGCTGCTCGCTAGGCGACAGAGCCAGCTCTGCTCCGCCCGAGCCTCCTGGCCGCCTCTCGGCTCCTCCCCCAGGGCGGGGCCTGAGCTCGCGGGCAGGGGTGGGCGCGCTGCACCGGTGGCTTCCACCCAGAGCACCGCGGGGTCCCCGCGCTCTCGGGCTGGGGGCCCCTCCTTTGAGCAGCAGGAAGTTGAGCTGAAACTGGGTGGGACGCGGCCTGTCTTCTGAGCAGTTTTCCTAACGCTCTTCTCCCCAGCCCCCACCGTGGAAACCGGGAAGCCAAGGACGTGTTCTTGCTCCATTTGACAGATGGGCATCGGGAAGCCCAGAGAGGAGCAGTAACCTGCCCAAAGTCACACAGGATTAGAGTCCCAGCAATTCAAGTCTCCTGCCTAAAGGGCCCGCGCAGCCTGAGTCTGAAGGCTTCCCACGAAGTCTGGGGGCCAGACCGGGCCTGGCCCTGGGGTCAGGTCTGTGGGGGCAGGTCCCCAGCTGGGAGGGGCGAGACGAGTGGGAGCTTGGGGGCCGCGGCCGGCGACGTGGGCTCGCATCATTTCCTCTTTCCGGAAAGAAGAGAGGTAAAACCAAGAAGGAAGGAAGTGGTCGTACCTCCGCCGACGTCTGCCGACGTCTGAGATGTGCAGGACTGAGAAAGGGGCTGCTTCCCTGAGATTTAACGCTAAAAATAAAAAGCAAAACATACGCGGTGGCTTCTGTCATCTAACTCAAGCCTCTTTCTGGGGCTGAAGGCCCCTGCACTCGGTGCACCACCGGTCTGTCTTCACCCCAACATAATTATCTTTAAGTCCTGTTGAGAACCACCTCACCACCACCACCACCCCCGGGAAGAGGAGAGAAAGTTAATAAACAAAGGAGAAGAAACCATCCCAAAACATTCTCAGGAATCCACACTGGCCTGAGAACAATAGGGTTCTCTTCTTCACAAAGCGCCTTGTTTCCTGAGATTTCCAGCCCACGGATTAGAGCCCTGAGCACCCTAGGGCCAGCCAGCTGAGGGGAGGATAGGGTTTAAGTTTGGGGGCCTTGGGGGTGGCACCCAGTTAATTCAGCTCCCAGCCATCATGTTTGAAGAACCCCTCTGGGTCCCTTTCACACTAGCAATGTTGCTTTGCTATACTCACCTGAGTGTAGTGATTTCCTTGGGCACCTTTCTCAGGGGAGAGAAAACCAGTGGGTTGGGCTTGTTCCAGGCCCCGAGGCCCTCCCCCAAACTTTGAAAGCCCCCTCCCATTTGCCCCCTCTCAGTTCATTAATAATCCAGTTGTGAACGAAGCCATTTCAGTAGGAGCAATTAGAGAGCAGAGCAGGTGGGGAAGACTTAAAGGGATATTTAGAATAACCCAAGGGGATCATTGTTCTCTGCAGAACGTTTCCATTGATTGATAATGAAGAGTGGGAATCCATCTCTCCAAGGCAGGTGTCTAGCTTGGAGCCTGTGTTCCGGAAATGAAGTCCTTAGGTGGAAGGGACTCCCAAGCACTGGTGTTGTGCTGTTCATTCACATTTCTCCCAGTGTTTCATGTCAAAAGTTAAAGTATATTCAGAATAAGTTGGAGGATTCACAAGTCCTGATTATAAAACTTACTATGAAGCTACAGTAAGCAAGACAGTGTGGTATGGCTCTAAGGATGGACATCTGGACCCGTGGAATAAAACTGAAAGTCCAGACATAAATCCTTACATGTATGGCCAATTGATTTCCAACAAGTATGTCAAGACTATTTAATGGGGAAAGAATAGTCTTTTCAACAAGTGGTGCTGGGACAACTGGATATCTACGTGCAAAAGAATGAATTTGGACCCCACCTCACACCATGTGAAAAATTAACCTCAAATGGATCGGACTCAAATGTAAGAGCTAAAACTATAAAATACTCAGAAGAAAACATAAGCATAAATCTTTAAAGAGGTGATTGAGTTAGGGCCCCTTAGGATGAGGCCCTAATCCAATGACTAGTGTCCTTATTAGAAGAAGAGACACCAGGGATGCTCCCCACAGAAGAAAGACCATGTGAAGACACAGGAAGACAGCCGTCTACAAGCCAAGGAGACAGGCCTCTGGAGAAACCAAACTTACCAACCCCTTGATCCCAGGCTTAAAGGCTTCAGAACTGTGAGAAATCAATTTCTTTTGTTTAAGAAAACCCAGTCTGTGGCATTTTGTTATGGTAGCCTTTGCAAACTAATACAATAACCCACAGATGGATAGGAAATATTTGCAAATCACATATCAGATAAGGGACTTACATCTAGACTATATAAGAATATATAAGGAAATTTTACAACTCAATAATAAAAAGACAAAGGACTCATTAAAAAATGGACCAGGGATATGAATAGACATTTCTCCAAAGAAGATATACCAGTGGCTAATAAGCACATGAAAAGATGCTCAGCATCATTAGCCATCAGTGAAATGCAAATCAAAGGCAATGAGATATCAGTTCACACACATTAGGTTGGTTATAATCAAAGACAGGCAATAACAAGTGTTGGTGAGGACATGGAGAAATTGGAACCCTCAGATATTGCTGGAGGAAATGTAAAATGGTCCAGCTCCTTTGAAAAACAGTATGACATTTCCTCAAAATATTAAACATACAGTTACCAGATGACCCAGCAATTCCACTCCCAGATATATACTTGGGGGGAATAAAAACGCATGTACACACAAAAACTTTTATGCATATGTTCATAGTAGCATTATTGATAATAGCTAAAAAGTGGAAACAACCCAAATGTCCATCAAATGATAAACAGAAAAATAAAATGTGGTACATCCACACAACACTATATTATTTGGCAATCAAAAGGAATGAAGCACTGTACATGCTACAACATGGATGAACTTTGAAAACATGATGCTAAGGGAAAGAACCAAGTTATAAGGCCACATGGCCACCTATTGTGTGATTCCATTTGTATGAAATGTCCAGACTGGGCAAATCTTTAGAAGCGGAAATCATACTAGTAGTTGTCTAGAGCAGGGAGGGAGTTCTTTGGGGCAGGTGGGGGATGACTGGTAAAGGCAGTTTCTTTTTGGGGTGGGGTGATGAAAATGTCCGAAAATTGATAGTGATCATGGTTGCACAACTATGAATATACTAAAAAATCATTGAGTCATGTACTTTAAATGAGTGAATTGCATGGTATGTGAATTATAGCCCAATAATGTTTTTACCAAAAAATAAGTTAAACTATACTCTGGTCCTTGAAATCAACACTGACCATGTCCTCCATACCTCTCTCTCCTGTCCCCAGGGAGGAAGGGCCCTCCCTTTGTTTTGAGGTCATCTGTGGTACCATCTGTGGGAAGACAAGGCCAATGAATGTTCTAAGAGAGTATGGAAAATGCTTGATGACCTGCAAATAATTGGATTGGCTCCAACATACAAAATCTGAAACATTGATGTTTATAAATATAGAATTAAATGTCAACATAACTTTAGGTCAAGATGAGTCCACTGCATCTCAATCAACTCATAATTACATATAAATTTTGCAGAAGGTAGAATTTGGGTGAATTACGCAGTTGCCATGATGTGAGGCAAGGCCTAGAGACTCCTGAGTCTGTGAAAAATGAGCTAATTCTAGCCTCAGAAGGGATTCACTCTAAAAGTTATTTGATCCAGTGGTTCTTAAGGCCAGCCTGTGGGCAGGTGCTGGGCTGGATGAATTCATTCATTCATTCATTCATTCATTCATTCAACAGATACCTAGTTCAATGCTGGGCCCAGAGTAGCCTTGCTAGGAGGCCCTTGTCTTTCCACGCTGCTGGTGAAGGTGTTGGCTCCAGGCCAGGCCCAACCAAAAGAAGAGCAGGAAGTGCATTGTGGATTTGAATAAAAATGAGCCAAGAGGGAGAAAGGCATCCCGAATAAGAGTCTTGGCTCTGGCAAGAGCTGGCTGGGCGGTCATTTCCTCTTTTAGATTGCTGGTTTCCTGGTCTGTAAAACTCCGATTGTACAACACTTGCGTGTGTTTGCATGTGTGTTTTTTTTCCCACGTCCTTGCGCTTTTGAGGGAAGTGACCTTTCTTCTACCTCTTTTGTAAACTCCCCAAAGAATAATTTGGACACAGTGGAAGCCCCAAAAGTGCCCTTATGGGAGCTCTGGATGTTTGGGGCTAGCAGGTGAGCCCGTCCTGTGAGGCCATGAGTACCAGGGTAGCTAGGCGTGGGGCAGATTGGTTTCCACGTTTATACTCAGCGTCTGGCGAGTTCTGCACAGTGGCTCTCAGTCTCGGCAGTGCATTGGAATCGCCAAGGGAGCTTTAAAGTTTTTGATGCCTGGACTCTACCCCCGACCCTTTGAATCAGAATCTCTAGAGGTTTATTTTTAAATACACACAGATCAAAAAAAAAACCTCCCCAGGTATGTGAAAAATGCAAGCTCACTTAGTGAGGGTAAGGGTTACTGCCTATGTCAGTGTTTCTCAAACTTCAGTGAGCATAGAATCATGGGGGAAGGCAAGGGGGGGTTGCCGCAGTGTTTAGTCTGTTTTGTGTTGCTATAAAAGAACACCTGAGACTGCGTAATTTTTAAAGAATAGAAGCTGCTTTAGCTCCTGGTTCTGCAGGCTGAGAAGTTCAAGGGCATGGCCCCGGCTTCTGGCAAGGGCCCTCCTGCTGGGTCACAACATGGTGGAGAAGGTCCCAAAGGAAGCAGACACTTGCGGAGAGGGGGAACCTGAGGGGTGTCTTGGCTTTAGAACAACCCACTCTCATGGGAACTAATCCATTCCCTCGAGAACCAATCCCATCTCCCAAGTGAGAGAACAGCACCAAGCCCTTCATGGGGGACCCACCCCCATGACCCAAACACCCGGCCCCACTTCCCAACACCACCACACTGGGGATCAGGTTTCAACATGAGTTTTGGTAGGGACAAGCAAACCATATTCAAACTATAGCAGGGGTGTGTGTTAAAAATGCTCCTTCCATGGCCGGGCACAGTGGCTCACCCCTGTAATCCTAGCACTCTGGGAGGCCGAGGCAGGCAGATTGCTCGAGGTTAGGAGTTCGAAACCAACCTGAG